GCTGACAAGCCCGATTCAGACGCTGTCCAATTAGTAAAGCGGAAATTCCACTAATTACCTCTAGCAATGTGTGCTCTGTACCTGGTAAAATTGTCCAACTCAGTGGCACTATGCAGCGTAAAGAATGTGCAAACACAGGTATTGTTAGACCATAGGAAGTTGGTCATATCCTGAGGTGAACGATGAGGTTATTCAACACGATGGATACTACATCATGAGGTCCGATCGCCCTGGAATGCAGCGGAAGCGCGGAGGTGTTGTTATTTATGTGAGCAAATCAGGGTGTAATACGAGTATCTAGCTCTCTACCTTCATAACATTAAGTTTGCTGTCGTTTATTCGAGGGTAAACAGAAATTTCTAAGTGAATTTCCATTCGCCGTCATCGGAAATATCTACATGAACCCCAACACGCCATCGACTTAGCACAACAATTTTGTGAATCATTTCTCAATAGCTTTTACCGATTAAAATGAAGCGCTCCGTCTTTACGTTGCTGATGACTTTAACAAATGTGATGCGACATTCATCAAGACACCTGGTCTAAAACTCCGGTAGCTTTCGTAACCAGACTTGATGCACAGTAGAATTTTATTTTCATAAAGAAAACTCAGATGATTTCTATTTTAAAGCAAGATCCTCTCAGTAACTCAGATCACTGTGTCCTGGATTCGTCCATTTAGTTACAGTAAGACCAAAATGGTGTCTTTGACATAAAAAGCCCTTCAAAGCCATCAGACAGCAAGACTTCGCAAAAGAAATGTTCGCAAATTCGCTCCAACTAACTTTTCAGTTTTCACGGAGAAGAAATTATCGAGGAAATGTAAACACCTTACCAAGTATAGCAACTCACGCTTTGATCTATGCTACGCCGTTGCGAATATCTACCTATGCATGGACAACTCTTCGCCACTACTAAAGCAACTTAGGCGTAAGAAATTACGGGCACTTAAATGCAAAATACCTTCCTAACTTAAACGGTAAACGTCGGCAAAAAAGTAAGTGGTAATGCTACTGAATAGTTTGTACATTAAAGCTGTGTTAAGTACGCACGACGGTTGCTATATTTGGAGACTTTTAAAGCATTTGTATGGCAATAGATTCCTGAAGCCTCTTGACAAAGTAGTTGTGAGAAGACTCAATGCCGACACTGGTCCCGGACTCACTCCTGATCACTTCGATGTGTACAGGGAACTCAAAAAATTGAGGATAACTAAGGATGCTGAACTTGGTGTTGTAACTCCACTCGCTCTAAAAGAGCAGGCGGATAATCACGCGGAACTCCTAACTGCCCTATTCAACCGCTGTCTAATAAGTGGCACAATCACTGACATATCGAGTTTTGCGAGGATAACGTCTGTGCTCAAGAAGAATCTGAAAGCTGTCCTCCGATTGTTTGTACGTAGATGATGTGGAAAGTCTGAGAAATTACTTGTACGTCGGATCTTCACACGCCCCTAGACGGAGGATGTATAGCAGTTTGCCTAAACGCTCAACCGCTACACGCTGGGTGCTGAATCGTACCTTTTACATTCGATCACCTACACTACGTGATAAATGCAGAACAGTGAAGCTACTGTTTCTCGATTGTTCATGTGCATCTGAACGCATCAACAAATCACACCTACGCAACCACCTGCTCACTAGTGGAATTCATACAAATGACTGCAGCGTGAGTACAGGTCTTTCTACAAATCGTACCCACTTCACCCAGTTTAACGTAACAAAGTCCGCAACACTTTGCTCCTATCGTTGTGTTGTACAATGAACGATCCTCTCTTTCCAACTGTTTTCTTTATATCTAGAAGGCCTATTGTAACGCTTGCTTCTTTCTCTCTCTGCCACCGACGACTATTGTACTGCTGCTTTTCTGTCCTGTGAAACTGCAAATGTCTGACTGCTCAGTCACGCGCCCAGCCAACCGAAGGAATACAAAAGGCCAGATCTCGGTAGATAGCGAGTGTTTACAGGATAAATCAACTCTATTTAATGGCAACCAAAACATGCTAATTTAGGAAGCCAATGTCTCTCAGTCTTCTGCGTCTGGTTTTCAGCCTGTGTGAGTGAGTTCCGCTCCACGGGTTTATCGTATTGACGGAGTAGTTCGATTGCTTTGAAGCGGGATGGCATTTGCTGGCCAATCAATTCTCACTCTATTCCCAAATTCAGTGGAGAGGTCAAAGCTGGTGGCACGCCCGTACCGATGACATTTGCGTGTAGCAGACACCCTACATGCTCTGCTTGCGCCTCTATTACCCGTTGGAATTGAGTATGCCAGCCTACCGTCCGAACTCGACTTTGTTCATAGGTTTTCGTTTTGGGATAAAGTTGTAGCCATCGTGGTCGTCTCCACTTTCGGGTCGGCCTGCATTGTGCATCAGCTGATGCTTGCAAGTTTTGTTGTGACCAAATTAGCCGCTCAGCTTCCTCCTCGAAACCAAACGTGTCTCGCAGAATTTCCCACGGTAGGGATGGTGGTTCCGAGGAAGTTTGAGTCGCCATGATTTAGCCTCAGCTGGTTGGTGTGACTGACCCATTTTCTCATTTCGTACCATTAGCTCGTAAATGACTGGGCCCTTTCTGCGAATCACTCCTCCTGTTGGCCACCTCTTCAGTCCTCGGAAGTCTCGCGCATACACCATGTCACCAAATTTGAGATGACGGACCCGGTTTGTCCTATTTTCCTCCGCATAACAACGCAATGCTTTTCTTTCCTGCTTGGCACAAGGCGCTTTGCTCTGAATACTCGTTTAGTGACTGGCTTGAGGTTTAGGGCAGCATTGGTCATTCTACAACATTCTGGACCAGGTTGGAGCGTTGTTTCGTGGCGTCTTTTCATCTACGTAATCTGACTTGGAACTATCGGACTTGATCTCGATGGTTGCGACATTTGGGTAACTTACGGCGGCTGGCATACAGTGTTTATTGACTGAGCAAATAATTTCTTCCTCCATCCAGTCGAGTCACTTCCTATACCCCCAACTTTATTGGATGCAAGTGTGCAGATGATGGCGTTATGGGATGTATATCTCCAACCGTTGAAACGTCTACTCTTCAGAGTAGTCTGGGTGAGTTTGTGCTGTAACCATCTACCCGGTCTCTCATTCTAAACATTTCTAAACGACGGGATGTAAAATTTTCTTTTCTTCGGGCTAATATGCTGAAAGCTGTTTCGAATGGCAATGCAAAATCAAAGTATATGCAGGACATCGGCTGTCAAGTATCTTTGAGTTTTTGATCATAAAATCCTTTTGGTCTAACTATTTAACAAGATTAGTAGGGTAACTTTTTATGCCCTCAGACTTAGAATGCTTTCGGTGCCTCGTGATTTGATAATTAAATCTGTGACAGTATGCATTCTGCCTCACTGACTTTACTGACCCCCAGTTAGCTTTCCTTGGTCTACTAGAAACCGATACATATTATTTTTAAGATCGTTAAAATTTATTTCTAGATGTAATGGACAGGTTAGAAACGAAACAGTTGATTTTATGATCAAGAAACATGGAGAGCGTGTACTAGCTATTTTCTTCAAAGACGTAAAAGATTTTTCCACCTAAGACATGATGCTCTATTGAAAGCGCTAACTGTGTTTTCTAGACGGTCTAAATTTAGAGTCTTATTTCCTTGTACTGCGTCTTATCACAATTCTATCCTATCGTACCGTTCACGATTAGTTGGGCACTCAACAAAACTCATCTGCATGATGCGCATTTGTTGTCTCGAGTGATATGCACAGTTTGCATTGTACAGTTTATTTGTTTTTATCCATTAAATAGCGTGTATTTCTCCAATCGCAATGATAGTGTAAAACGCTGAAAATTTGTCTACTTGGGTGCATAAAATCTATTTGGACTTGACTTCCAATAATAGTTTACGTCACACAGTAAGAGCAATTAATAATAAATCAAGGGAAAATAGCTTTACTAACATAAACTATTGGTTCGATAATTTATTCATTAATAGACAAAAATGAGCGCCGTTAATTGTTTATTAATCAAGAGCCGTAATAGATTGTTTTAACTCGACAATGAAGTACAACGATGGTTCTGTTATTAAGCCAGAATATTTTACGTTTGCCAATGTGTGGCTATCTACAAAATCTACTATTTTGCTAATGAGAAAGCAAAATTTCTCCGAAACAAATTTTTACTTGTTAATCCGACATATTGATCTATACATTCCAGTTTACCGTAGGAGTTTGATCTACAGGATCCCTTCAAGCTTCTACATATTCCCCGATACCCGAAGCTACTACAAATATTAACGAGACAGTCGGTGCGCATTAGTAGGCACGCTGCTACTTATGAGTTGCTGAAAAATTAAACTTGATGCTAAATAATGCAGAGGTCAGTGGAATTCACTACTCTCCTCGTGAAACTAAATTATATATCAAAAAGTTAAATGGTTTTTAATCCGTTTTTGAAGTACTGGTTGCATTCTACTGATAAACGGTTGGATAATTTTCAAAAACACGATTGTGAATAGTTAGGCAATTTTACATCACAGTGAATTTATACAGGGTATGTTTTCTCTTTTTCTTGGCTCGTCGTTAAAGAATATTTGTAATGAGAGCTGACAAAACCGAATCCATACTTACTTTATCATTAAAACATTAAACGAAATAGTTTTAATCCCCTTATGAAAAATCTTGTTTTTTGGATGCTGCTTCGCACATGGTAATTGTAACTACCTCAGTAATAAATACTTTATATATTTTAGTGATTACATACAGCACGACAAATAGAATAAACTTAACTACTGAATGACAACTGTTACTTAACACGCACCCTGCAGTGGAAATTGGGTAGATAAATGCAGGTCCCAAGCGGTCTTCGTATAAACATTAATAATACAAAAAATCGGCAATCCGTGGTAAATGTACACTCAGAGTTTCTAATCCCCCTACTTTCCGTTGATTAATTGCTTGGACTATGTATAGACGACCAATTTTACTACTGAGGTTGATGCATAACAAGTGGTTTATAAAGCCAACCATACCTTTAGAACCTCCTCGCGAACAGTTTTCTTGCTAAACATTTCTGGCAGTCGCTGCACCAATATATTCCATGGATCGTGCGTATTTGGAAGGTTTAGCTAAAATAATACATTAAATGAGATGCAGCAGTTGAACAGAGACTAAACCATCAATAGTTAAAGTCTCTATTTGACGTTGGGCTTACCAGAGAAGATTCCAGCATAGCGCCAGTCTTTTCAGATATCCGATATTCATCCAAATGCTGCATTCCTCCTCTGAAGCCCGTGCATACACCCAGGGGTTCTTTTCAATTGCATCTCACCTGAACTCTTATAAAACGGTCTTAGCTCCACTACTATGTATATCGTGGTCCAATTAAATTGTGTGAATGCTAGTTGACGACCGAAGCTAATGATAGGCGGTTCCCGATCTGAGTGGCCGATTTGAACCTCTGTGCTTAAGTCACGGTAATTCACTTAATACCCTATTCGCCAATTCCTGTTTATGCAACCGAGTGAACTGTTTATACATAACACGGTTTATGCATAAAGCAAAGCGGAATATGCCGTCAATTCATGCGAAGGCAAAAGAAATGGATAGTTAAAAACCATTTCACTTTTGTCACGGTAAAAACGCTCAGCCGATTCAGTGCTGGTACAGATTGGAAGCGCAATTAGAAACGTTGATTTTGAAGGGAATATTTGGCAATCAACAGCTCAATAGTTATACCACATTCAATAGAGTAGAAAACTTTACCATACGATTGCTTTTATATTTAACTGAACCCACTTGGAGTGGCCTAGCCTAAAGGGCAACATTACCATACGAGTCGCCATTTGGATATATTGCGATCTTGTCATACATGAAAAAATTGCCACCTGCACCATTTTCCAAAATCTAGCTAAGCATTAATTTTTGCAGCTCTTTGTGTTTTACTATTCGGTGCATCCACGGTTTTACTCTAACCCTTGCTATCACAATTGTTTGCTTCCCGTTGTACAACTTGCCCCAGTGGTCTGGCACAGGCCTGACGTTGTCTCATTCTCTCCCTTGGGGTCACAATCATCATTTGTTTCTTACATACCACACATCAACCCCCTGCCACATTACCGCGAATTGTTCGCTGTTACTAAGCGTTGCACTCTGCTGACGATTGTCGTAAGTTCACAAGCACCGTCTATCTGAGTCTAATTATAACGAATGAATGCAGAAATTATAATGAATGAATTTAAAACTTTAAAACTCCCTACCACTCCCTTGTTTACAGTATGTATAGGAACCACTAGTCCTCCTACCTTCGTCCGTTAGAGGCTTGAAAATCCTGGTTTAGACTTCTGAGCATCTCGTAATGGCTCAGCATTTATCTCTTATCTTAGACGGCAAATTCCGCTCTTAGAGTTGACCGTTATCCTGGATATAATTTGCTGTATGATACTCAGTAAGCAAGCTTGTGTATTCTAGTTGGTTCTGACTAGGGTTCCCACCCGAACATTTAATGGACAACATAAATATATTTAATCAACCAAATTTAAAACTTCACAGAACAAAAAAATCTGTGCTGAATAGAAATTGGCATTGCTTGCTATATAATTTGAGCATGCTGAATTTGAATCTGGGACTAGTCGACTCTGTAAGGTACGGAATTTTCGTAAATTGACCGTATACATTTTGCAAAATACAAATGTGTTTGAATTGATGATCTACGGCTCGATTCTTCCTAAATATCTAAATTGATGCAAACACTTCACTAACGCACAACTTTAATTAGGTACTAGATATGCAAGGAGCTAGATGCGTTTATAGTTTTCGAGTCAACATTTTTTCCGGGTAGTCAATTCCGTTGCACCAATAATTGTGATCCATCATGGTTTGCGAACACCATCGTCATCAAATCATGGTGAAAACGTTTCTCTTCTTTCTCAAGTAATACGGGAAATTGTGCAAGAGGATAAATTAAGAAATGCGGCTTGACAATAATCTTGCATATAAGATCGCGAAATGTCTGCAACCTGTTAATCGGCTCCTCATAATTATTTGACTTTGGTTCTTAAGTTTTTAGAATTGCTACAAAGAACTATCACACAATCATTTTTGAGACAAATCCTTCATCACGCATCAGAGCTCGATTTTAATGGTCGGCAAGAACACTTGCTTTAATATTGCACAAAGATAAAGACTGAAAAGTAAAATCTATCTACTGAAATTATTCACCAACAGTATTCATAATACTCACAAACTGTTTCGTAGAGCCAATTTTCATATACAGTGGAGGAAATATGATAACTCTACTAAACACTGATTGACTCACTGATCGAATTACCATCCAGCAGACATTCACATCTTAGTCAAACCTGTGTCCATGTTTCTCGTATGCTCCACTGTCTCATATGCTGAGTAACATAGTACTATGTGTAAACTAGCTGTTGACTAAGAACGAAGTTCATTATCTTCAGGACAACAAAATTGACCCAGTTGGGTTAATGATGTCTGATGAAGTCAGTAACACTTTTTAGGTCAATATGATCTTATCCTAAGTACGGTGAGTAATCCAGTGAAACTGTTCATATGCAATGTCGTTACGCAAAAGAACACAGGAGACTAAGCTTAAATCTACCGAAAATAAACTCAATTCTGATGGATCATAAGAAGCAATCCCATACTGTAATAAGAGACCTGGCATAACATAACAAAAGACAAAGTACCTGACTTATGATAAAATGCTAAGCAACTTTCATCGGGTTTTTAAAAGAACAAACTTACTGTGCAGATAAGGCTATACTTTTCATGTAACCCGAAAATTAAAAGCATAGCTACTATCTAGGAAAGCCCCAACACTCATTTCCTTTTATCTCATTTACCTTGGGTCTATTGAATTTTGATATCAGTTGCGGAGTCTCTATAAGTTGAAGCTGACTGATGTGGTTCAGCCCATTTTCAAGGTGACGGACTTCATCATCTGATGAAACGTAAACTTTACTTGTTGGAGTTGTAAGCTCGATGGCGTGAACAATGTGTCGGATTGCTAAGAAAATAATGGGATAACAGAGCCAAAGCCAGTTCATCTTGTATCAATAATGCAAGAAAAACAGTCGTTTGTTTGGGTAATAGATTCTCATTAAAACATGAAAGTCGCGAAGGGCAAGCTTTTTGCCTGTCTTTTGGTCCAGACGCGAAGAATTTCGCTGCAACCACAGTGCATTAAATAAGGTGACCACATTTTGTATTTGTCACTGCATCGTGGGTTAAATCCTGCTGTCTCCACCTGATGAGATGAAATTACATCGAAACGCGTCGTGACTGTGCAGTGTTTTCTGTTGGGCAATACCCAATTTCCATCTACTTTGAATACGGTCTAGCGATCGCAATGACTAAGGTTCATTTCAATGTGAATCACAGTCCATTAAAATGAGGTTTCGTGTCGCCATCCAATCACACAACGTGTAATCCAAACTTGACCCTCCAATTAGTCTTTGCTATGTGTTCTAAATAAACCGCTTGCACAAGTTATTTATTTTACGGTGGATATATGTGATTGATTACTAGCTGCATTTGGCTGCCTTGTATGTGTTTGCAGTTTGAGATGCGCTATCTTAAAATATCCAATGGCTAAAATATGCGACTTAATAAAACAATAATCTAACAACGGAACAACGGTATAATACGTATAAAATGCCAAGGCTTGACAAGTCCCGTGGGATGGTTTGTAGGAATAACGTTATTTCAAAAAAGTTGAGCAAAAGTGAAAAACGAATCTGTGGACTCCCCATATTATCCAGGCTAACATAAAGGTACATGCGTTTACCCCGATTTCGTGAGGTAAGTGAGCACAATGTTTGACTGCGCCATGTCATCACTCAATGAATAGAAATCAGATCAAGTAATTAGGTTGTGTAAATCATCGTCGAGTACTTTAAAAATGGGTAGCGTGGGCGCAGAAACGACAGAAGTCGAAAGAGCGTTCCGCAGTTGACAAACCCGAAGTGAAAGATAATTTTAGCGTCACTCCAGCCGATTGTATTTGGTGGCCAGTTTCAACTTATGACCCCTCATTTCCGTGTTGTAGCTAAGCTTCAAGAGACCGTGGCAGGCGTGACCGCGGCTTTCAAGATCTGGAACGCCAGGACAAGGTCACCCCGTGGACGGCGGTATTTTCCGTTATGAATTTCCAGGGCTTATAGTCGCCTATGTTATTGCAGGTGGGACAAACACTTCATATTTTTCGTTGCCCATCACTGGGCGGTCTGTAGCGCAGCCAGGTTGCATTTTAACCAGGTTTGCAAAGTCTGGACCGAGTACTGTACATTGGGCATTTTGCGGGAACTTGGAGGGATCGAAATGTCCGAAATCCCTCCGTAACAAACCAAGTTGCTGGTTAGCGATTTTAGACGTTTTCAGTGACTGCGCCGAACAGCCGAGGTCGTCCTGTGTCACCAGCTCAAGGTCACGCTCATCTGAGGCGGTTTTCAGTATGTCATCTATAAGCTTACATGCGGTAGTGGGCTTGTGGTGTAAATGTAAAATTTTGCACTTGTACGCTTTAAACGAAGTAGATTAGCCTTTGACTATTCGAAAGGGCGGTCTAAGTCTGCCTGCAACATATCATGATCTACCTGACAGCCGATGTAATGGGCAAAAAGCAGGAAATTTTACTCGATGACACTCGCACTATTTTACACTAATCATACAAAACCGGAAGGTAAGTACCAACATTAGGCAGCAACCTATGGTAATATAGTACAAAATACAGATTAAGAACATCCAGTCATAGGTATCTTAAAAATTTTGGAAAGCAAACTCGCTCACATTTTATGGATCGAAGCAGCTTTAATATCCAGCGGCCAAATAGCTCGTGAAATTCAACACAGCCTAACTGGAATACTTCGCATGTCGTAGTGCCCCATCAAACCGACGTAGTTGAGAGAACAGGTCACAGATATCTTGACCTTTCCACCTTGAGGGATGCAGTAGCATAAAGGAAGTGACAAAGGAAACAATGTAAGCAGTATGTAGGTAGAGTTGGTGCAAGAGTGACTGGACGGACTACGACAAATATGATTGAAAGCATACCGGCAAGAGGTGCGAAGGTGTCGATGCATAATGCAAGCTGTATCGAAAGATGGAGTTTACAATAGAAATAACCGACCAAAACGAATAGTTTAGATACGAGGCAGAAACACGCTGAAGAAGCTGATGCAAACCAAGTGTGTTGCGCTTTTGGAGAAGTCAGCATTCATAGTTTGATTGCGCGGTTGATCGTTTGACAACAAA